TATTTTATACTTTTTGTAAAAAAGCAGGAGACTTTCTGTGTTGATAGCAGTGTTCTGGCTGGGTTAGTTTATGAGTTTAAAGCTTTTAATTGAATGCTAATCCATGGATGAATGCTTGTATCTATGATTTCTGCTCCTATTTCTTAGATTTTTCTGTTCCGTTATTAAGATACATTTTAAAAATGACATTAAAGCATGTAATCTTTTGGGCTGGTGTTAAGCTTTTTGGTTAAAGTTGGGTGTATTTTGGTAATAGTATCAAACATAATTACAGTTGGAAATCAGCTGTTTCTTTGAGCAGTGTTGTGACAAACTACCAGACACGCAATTAAGTTCTAATTATAAGCTTGCATATAAGAAACTGTTTTGTTTTTTCCTCCTCTGCACCCACTGTGGAACTTGTTTTTTTTGCTGGTTTGTCAGTGAGAGATGAATTGCTGTGTGGTCTGAATGAGTCTGTTGAGGGCAGCTCCAGCACAGCACAGTAGAGCTCTGTATGTGAGAACTGCTGCGAAGGCATTCATATGCTCAGTATTCAGAAAGTTTCTCTCTGACTCCATGGATAAAAGCTTGCTGCCAAGCAACACTATTCAGGAAACACCCACAGATGGTCTACCTAATATCTATAGCACAACTAGCCCAACAACCCTGTCCTCTTTAATGACTTAGCAGTGCTGTTGGACCTGTAGAACATGACTAGTCTTGACTTGCAGAATAATATAACACAATTCATGAGCTCCTGCATAGAGTAACTCTCATTTCCTAATGCGATGTGGTATGGGACATCTATTTAACTGCAATAGCACAAGTGGCAGTTTACTCTCGTAATGCAGATTGGAGAACATGGTCAGAGTCATTTCTATGCAGCACTGGTGTGGGGTTCATGTATTAAGAGTCAGAGTGATGAGGAAGCAAACGGCAGTGAAAATTAGAAGTCATTGTGGTGGATAGAGGCAGTGTTGATAGCACATTAAGTGGTTTGGACAGAAAGTCAGTAGAAGAGGAGATGAGGGGGGAACTGCAGGGAGCCATCGATTTGTTCACAAATAAGCCCTTTGCGCTTCCCAAGCAGCTCTTCTTCTCATAATCCCCGGCTTCGCTCATACTGATGCAGGGTCCTGTTTCGTCTGAATTAATGACAGCAAGTATGGCATCTCATCACCTCATTATAGTAGGCTGAATTAAATAGTTGCTTATCTCTGCAAAACCAGGCTTCCTGAAAAAAAAGTGCTGCAGTTCCATTGCCCAGCCACATAAGCATTGGTTTCTTTTGTTTTTAAACAGACATTTCTTTTCAGAGTTTCACAAAATGACCAAAGTGATGTATGCTGTAGAGTATTAACAGTTATCATCCAGTGCAAGAAGACTTAGGAATATAGAGGGGAAACTAAATATTCTTCTGCTTACAAAACTTTGCTTCTTTTTCTTTTCTATTTTTTTTAAATAGTTGCTTTTGATTTACCTGTCCACACTAACCTGTTTGTAGATGCTACAAGTAAATAGTAAGTAATACACCGTCCAATATCTTTGTAGTCTTTCATAATTCTGAGGGTAGAATAAAGCAAACTCATAAACATGACCTTTGTCTCTCCTCTGCTGCCAGAGAAAGGAAGCCATCTGTCTCTGAGTAGAAACTGCTCTGTAAGCTCACTCCTTCAGTTGGGGTGGTAAGCCCATTACTCACTCTCAGCCTGACCCAAGATTCAGTTTGTATTTCTAAAGCTATGCTTCATATTCAGTCAGATATCCTGAGGAAGCATTAAGTCACTGTAACTGCTGGAAGAAATTTAACGTGAAATAAAGAAATGGAACTCAGCTGTCACTTTAGTTTTTAGTCAAGGTTATCAGATCTTTTAGTTATTTGTGTGCTGGTCTGTTGCTCAGTGTAAAGGGCGGCGTAAAGGTGTACCAGGCACAGGACACTCCTCCCTTCATATTGCTGTCTCATTGTTTTGAAAGTGCAGACATAAGAATCAAGCAATGTGTTGTCTTGAAATGCAGATTTTATGCTCATTCCTGAGTTCTTCCTACAAATTTCTTCCTGTGAACTGCTATCAGTGCTGCAGCAACTAATGGTTATTTTCACTTGCGTGTCTAAGTAACAGCTATTTTCTCAATTCAGATGAATCATTTGATCTCTGAAATGTGAGAAAATTGTGAAAAATTACAGATCTTCGTCTGTGTTTAAAAAGCGTGTTTTGTCAAATTATTAGTCAGAAGACCAAATGATGTTAAGTCATTTTCAAATAAAAATATTAAACTGCTTCTTTTATCAAAGTAGTTGCCAATTATTTCTTTATTAATTGACCAGTTTTCTACTAGTTTTCTACTTTTCTGCTTTCTGATATATTTCTACTTTACACTTTTAAATGTGTCCATCAGGGTGGGAATCACTTTGACCAGTATGAAGAGGGTCAGTTGGAGCTGGAGCAGGCATCCCTGGACAAGCCCATCGAATCGGTAAGGCTGCATCCATCATCCTGCACCATTGGACCAGCTGTGAGAGTGGATATGATTGGTCCAGGGAGCAATAAGAACAACACCTTTTACTCCATTCATACTGTCCGTGTAGCTGCATCCAGTGTTTTCTTGAACACATTGCCACCTAACTTGTAGAATCACTTGTCTCATGTGCATTAATATCCTTTAAGTCCCCCCGCCCCACTTCCCATGTCCTATGCCTACTCCATTTCTTGTGTGACAGTTCAAAATAAGTATGTATAGGCTAGATGTTCCTGTTTTATGTAGAGCTTAAAGATAATCGTTAGATTTTTGTATCAGTTTCCCATTAGTCATTGTTAGTCATCTAAGCGCTAGGAGAAGAAATTGCTGTGAAACCATGGAGTGGATGAAGCACTGTCATTAGTGGCTGGTTTTTGAGTACTTACAGAAAAATTCATACATATTTTAATATGAAAACTGCATACACGTTACACATAGGTGTAGCATGAGTTTATATGCTAAACAAAGCTGGTCACTTATATTTTTTTATGAGTCACTTTGAGATTTCAAGGCTTTTTTAAATTTGTATTTTTTTTTAATTTAATTTATGTAGTCCTAAATAAAGTCTTAAAAAAGGAAGACCAATAGAATGCATTTTGCAGTGCAGATATGTTTTTAAAATGACCACATTAGTTAGTTTACAGTTGTATATCTGATTGTTTTGCAGTTTGTCAAATTTATGTTTATGAAAACTATGCAGTGCTTATTCCACCCCATTTAGCAAACAAGCGAGTGCACATTAGATGGTGTGAGTGGATACATTTGTGTTTGAGTGAGTGTGTGTCTATGTAGCTTTAGAATTTGTGTGTTAGTGTTTGTGTCTATAGGACAGTTATCTTATTGTACACAACTTGGGGTGTTCGACATTTCTCTCCTGCAGCGAATTGGCCCCTATTAGCTAAGCAGCAATGACCCGGTTTGTATTTGCACGCTCTGCTTTCTTACTCCTATCTTTAGGGTCCTTGTAACGCTTCTCTGACTATCTTTCTCTCTCTCTCTCGCTCTCTCTTGCTCTCTCTCTCTCTCTCTTTGGCTATCTCTGTTTCACTACTGTTAAACTTTACATCTATTCTCTCTCTACCTCAGTTTCTCTCTCTCTCGCTCCCTCCCTACTACACAGTGATTCGGTGTACAGTACCCTCTGTCATTCTGTGCTGGCATGGTGCTTGTGCAACTGGGACTGCATTTTTCGCTGAAAAGGCACTTCGATAATAGCGCAGGCAGCTGTCTTCTTTCTGTCTTTCTTACTTTCTCCATACCCCCGTTCTGTCTCTCAAGCAGTGTGGTGAGCAGGCTCAAACTCTGCTTACTTTCAGTTTTAGGTCACTTTATGAAGCATGTCAGATAGAATCAGTAACCACATAGAGTTAAATAACTCTGAAATACAATTAAATTATTATAAAAACAGAAACAAATTCTTTAATCACAGAGTATACAATAGTAAATGAGTATAATGATGGATGAAAAATTATGAACTCAGGTGAATTATAAGTACTGTAAAATAATTTCTAACCTCAATATTAGCTTGAAAAATAACCTGCATGTTTTGGACTAAACATAGCTGTATGCTATAAAAGGATTTTACCGAGCCTTTGATTTGACCAAGCCTTGTTGAATTTTTAAGAAAGGGTAGTAGGTAGTACTCTGTTAACCAAGAACATTAAAAGATTCTATCTATGTAGAATTTTATGTATGAAGCAGTTCCTCACAGATACAAAAATGATTGTACCGTGTGGGTTAGAGAGGGAGAAAACAGTGAGGGGGAGAGAGGTGGCCTGCTCACCCGGCTTAAGTGGCTCTTTTGCTCCTGCGCTATTATTTGTGGAGGGGTCCTGAGGGCCATGCTGCAGCATCACACAGCTCCTCACACGTCAGCAGAGGTGTTGTCAACTGTCACTTAATTGCCAGTACCGTTAGTGTTATTGAACATAATTGTTTTGGATGGTGCATGCTCAAAAGCAAGGTGATTTTACCGACAGTGCTGTGCAAAAGTATTTAGGCACCCACCATTTATTCATATTTTCCTTTCAAATAGCCAGACCTTCTTGTAATTTTTTTAAGTGGCCTTGTGCAATAGCTCTCCAGTCTTTCTGAAGGTCTTTAAAGATTTTTCTTTGGACATTAAATACTTTTTCATGTATTTTAAGACTAGCTCTTAAAACGAGAGGCCATTTTCAGAGGCTATTGTTTCTTTGTTTTTTGTTTCTTTTCTTCTTCTTTTTTTAATGCCACTTAACACTGACCTGTGAGTCACTGGAGCATAAAAAAGGCACCTTTTCAAGATTTGAACCTGTGTTGTTTCTACTCTACTCATAACTGAAAATGTAGCAAAGAACCACATTTAAATAATATCCTTAGGCACTTTGTCACTAGCCCCATGTAATGTTTTTTTAAAAAAATATTTGAGTTTCAAGAACTGGAGGACAAAATGGCAGACCTTTAACAAAAAAAAAAAAGCAAATAAATTTATCTGAAAGAAAACATTAAACGTGAGAAAAAGAAACATGATATTGTTATCAATATGTGTGGAAGAGTTCAGGAGAGGGGTACAACCATTTGTAAGACCTGTTGTAGGCTCTGTCATGGTTTGGGGCTGCCTTTCAACCAGTGTTGTTTAAGATCTTTTCTAAATTTAAGGAATTATGATCACAAAAAATACGGGCAACACCTTCATTTTTCAGCCTGACAACGGTGCAGTGCAGTAAAGGCATGCCTTTTTATAGAAATGCACACTTTGGAACATTAACAATCATGGATTGGTCTCCCCAGACCATGGCCCTCAACATTATTGAAGCACTGTGAGATCATCTTGGCTGAACTTCTGTTTTTGAACAGAACTTCTGTTCTGTTCAAAAAGCAGCCATCATCCAAAGAAGAGTTTTTAACTGACCTCTAATTAGCCTGGAATACTATTCCTGAGGACTGCTTAAATAAATGATAAGAAAGCTTAAGAAGGTTCAGGGTGTGCTGATGAATAAAGGTGTTCATTCCAAATTTTGACTTTCATACTCATTAGAATTGTACAAACTGTTTTTTTGGGGTTTTTTTTTTTTTTTTTTTGCAGATGTTTCAATAAGTCGCTTCACCTATTTCCCATTCACTAGCAAAATATAAATAACCGAGGGGTGACTCACGACTTTTGCACAGTACTGCAATGCAAGCAAATATCAGATGATATTTGGTGATTCAGAAGATATTATGAGGCTGTTCTTAATTTTAAATTTAAAAAAAAAAGGTGTAGTACAGTTTTTAAAGCAAAAAACGTAACTATATTACGCTGACCAAATCCCCAAAAGCATGTTTTAAAAACAGAATTTCATACTTGGATGTAAACGACACATAAATAGAAGTAGATCTAAAAGTCTGCATTAAATTTTAAGCGAAGTTTTTATGTTGACACTTCTATCACAGCTTCCTTAGTGAAAACTTCTAAGGCAGTAGAATTTGTGGCACTTGATCACCAGTGTTACATCTCGGAGCTGTTGGTGAATGCTTTGGCCCAGCTTCTCGGAGCCCCTCTCCAGCCACTTATTGTGTGTGATCTATAGGCAGCTAGAGGTCTGTGGTACTTTATTGGGATCTTTTTTTCTCTTCCTATCTTTCCCATTTGGTCTTTGCTATTTTCTCTAACACTGTTTTTTGCATTGCATGTGTTAACTTGATAGCATTCAGTACTATTTCCGCTCAACACTCTGTCTTAATCACAACTACAACCTTTTCTCCCAGACTCATTTCCCCCACGTCTCTTGACCCTCCTAGTCCCTCAATCCTACCATCCTCCTTCCTTCCCTGACCTGACCCAGTACCAGAGCGATATGCAGTGGGCAGCCTCAGAGCCACAGAAACCACACAGATGTGCAATCCAAGAAACATGAGTATTCAGGCCACAGGGAGATTTATTTCTTTATTATGTATTTCTAGGCTTCTTGTAGACATTATGATTGTCTCAAAGTTACCAAGGTTCTAAGAGGAACATTTGGGTGACAGTGTATCAGCTGTTACTGAAGTATGTAGGGTCTTGCATTACAGCCAGACAGTATCTGACACAGCTGTTTGTCCTTGTTTGACGTCTGTCACATAAAAGGTAGGAAGAACAACAGCACAAGCAAAAGGTCAAACACAACTGACCCACATTTTCACAACACCACAGGCTCTAAATTTACCACAGTTACCAAAGGGGTCATAATTGAGACTATCACAAATGATTTAAGTAGCTATTGGACATCAACACACTCTCACACACAAAAAGAACAGGAACACTTATCTGTTTGGAGGTGTTTATTTCTTAACTACACTGCTAAATTCCCTCACCTTGAATTGTGGCTTCAGAATTATGAGGTAAGTACGTGTTTTTAGTTATTTTATTTTAAATAAATGAAATAAAATTGACCCCCCCCCCTTTCTCCCTAAATTAGTAAGTGAAATCTTTAAAATCTGCCACATCTACACATACAAATAGGCTTATTATTTTATTTTTTTGCCTTTTCATGCTCTTAGATGGTTGTTTTCATTTAGTCATACGTAGAGTAACTGACAACTACAGAGCTTCACTTTCAAGGCAATTGCTAAAATGAACGAGGAGCTGCAGAAAGCAATCTTGTCTACCACCACTGAAAATACGTGGTTTTTGTTAGCTTCGGTCCATACGTTTATGAGTATGCCTGTCCAGTGTTGGCATGTCTTTGTTAATCTGAGCTAAAGCAATTTCTCACACCCTGACAGGGACACACACATACTGTCTCATTAAAATGGCTGCATAGGCTCTCACTAAAAGTAAATACTCTGAGGTCTCTAAATGGGGTCCCCTGCATATCACTTTCCTTTTTACATATATGTTGCCATGCACTGTGCCATTGAAAGCACATTGCACACTCTTGAACACCTCCTCTTGTAGAGGTCTTTGTTTGGATAACATTTTCTATTTTTTTTTCTTTCTCTTATATTAACAGTCAGTTGGTGGATTTATTGAAATGCCTACCTTTTCTGTTTGTATACAGTATTATGTTTGTTTTAAAGCAGAGAGAGATTTGTATTTTTAAGAACTAGAGAAGCTAGCAGAATTGCAGTTGAAAGCGTTTGGCCGGTTTCTTACGTTGTGTCACGTGTGACTGTTTTTTTGACAGCCCAGTATTTTAAAGCCAGGTTCGTATGGAAATGCCTTCACTCCACTTGCACTGCTGTTGGACTCGCCGTCGTTGCTTTCATCTGTCTGTCTGTCTATTCTTTTGGTGCACTCGTCTGTTCAACACCCAGTCTGCTCCTCATCTCCGCCCTCTAACTTTTGCTGAACACATTTTGAACGCATCGTTTTCTTACTGTCAGCAGTTGGAACTGTTGCCTCATCCAACATGCCCTTGCTGGGTTTTTTTTATTTGTTTGTTTAGTTGTTTTTTGTTTTGTTTTGTTTTTTTGGGGGGGGGGGGGTTCCTAGTATAATTACTTGATTTAAACTCAAAAGATTGATTTGTGAAAGGGAGCATATACATTTATGGCACTTGAGTCTGAGTCTTTTTTTCCCCTAACAACCACATTTTGTGCTGGAAAAATAAATCAGCTAACATCAATTGCGCAGGGGATGAGGGAGTGCCTTTCTCAGCAGTTAGTTCAGGGTGGATTTTATTTTCTCAAATCCTTCTTCATAGGTCAGCTAATTCCCCTCATCAATAAATGCTTTTCTGTGTAGAGTCTTGTCAGACTCCAATATTGCAGTTAAGGACAGAAGCAGGTCCTGTGTCAAGAACAGGAGTGGCTTTCACTGCAGCAAATTCTGCAGTGTTTTCCCCTAACAATAAATTCAGAGCACATTTTGTCTATTAGGCATGAAGAAATGATCCTTAGTGGCCATAAAGCCTCTAATTCATATAAGTCCTTGCCCAACTGCTAGGCAGCAACAAGTAATAAACAGTGATTTGCAAGACTTTTTAATTTAGCCTTCAGTGTCCTGATTTAGGAGTTGATTCAGGCAGTCTGTCTCCAGTTGCCTTCCTGCCATGTTAGTCCCAGCGCATATTTCCCTCTTATCTCATTCTACAGCGGAAAGGATCTGACATTTGCACAGTAAAGGAGTTAAAAAAAAAAAAAAACCCCAAAAAAACCAACCCATCAAACTGTAACAGAAACAAGACGTGAAGAATTTGAGTCTTTCTTGAGCATTTGCTGCAAACATCAGCCAGATGATTTGGATATGTTATTCTTGTCACCAAAATGCAAAGTATTTTTAAGTTTCCTGAGTATGTCATATTGTACAAGTATGTCACTTGTAAAATAGGGCAAAGGAAGGCAACAGTTTGCTTTGAAAAACCACCTTAAAAAAGGGCTACAGCCAGATGTATCTCAATTAAAGTCTCGTGGGCGGAGATGCAGTATGCACACTGCGTGTGTGAGTACCACTCCCCTTCACATGCACTAACTCATACAAGCCCAGTTCACTTTCACCACCCTAGAAACTCACCCTCATCATGGCTCAGCCTGCTCTGTTCTGCTCCCAACCTCCTGTTTTTACCAAAGAGAACTAATTGAGCCCCGTTGAGCCATCACTTTCCTCTCTGTGCCTGAACCACCTGAGACTAACACAGTTGGAGTTTTGTTAACCCGCCCACACCCCTCAGCCCGCCCCACTCCTCTGTATGTGTACCATTCACAGTGCGCTACTAACACCGACGATCCTTTTTGTTAAAACTCTTTAACAAAAAGCTGCATGCAGTTTTTTTTTCTGTTTAAACCCCTTCACTTTCTGTTTGTGAAAGTTGATGTCAATCTCTTTGTGATTATAAATATCCTTTTTGTTTGGTTTGTATGTTTTTTGGTAGAATGCAGCACTCTGGTGAATGTTAGACAAGCTTGGAATAGTTATAATCACAACAGCAAAACACTGCTTATTAAGAAATCTCATCGTTACCTGTTTATTTGTGCTTGAGGATGTACTGTAGTGTGTAGTGGTGGGACGGTCTTGCATTTCACTTAATGTTTTTGTTTTCTTGCTGACCCATACTAGTGATATAACGGTCTCCGACATGCACATTTGGGCCCCACAGTGTGCTAAGAGTTCCTGTTGTGTATGTTTTTGCACTCCTCTTGCCTCTTTGGTTCATTATCAGTTGCTTGATCTTGTGATGCATTTGTCATAGAAATCATTAGTATTAAAAGAAAAGCCTTGCACGCACGTTCAGAGGCCTCAAGTAGTTTGAAGGTATGTTTTCTCATTTCTGAATACTAATGGTATCTATGAAAATATCAAATTATAAGTGTTGAAATTGGTGGGATGTGACGATTGATAACAGACCAGAGCCGCTAAGGATGTCCAAAAACAAGCACAACAGCTATTTTTCGTATATCTGGTGGGGCTACATGCACACAATGTGTTCCTCTCTTCACCTGCACACCCGCATATCCCCTCACACATGCATAATCTATCCACCCTGGGCCTTGTAATGGTAATCCAAGGCCCACTAGTTCCACTTCTGTCTCTTCCTGTTGCTATAATTTTTTGTGACAGCTGCATATGTTTCATGGTGCTCTCCTCGTCATGGTTACAGAATCACAGCAAGCTTGGAGTTTCTGGTCTTTGTTTTGTTTATGCTAGATTTCCATACCTGTTCTGTGTTACTTTTCTTTGTGTACTGAGATCTTGCTCTGTAGTGGTTCATATATGTATGCGTGTGATACATATATTGCCCTCTCCTTCCTCCTTCCTACTCCTCCTCCTCTTAACTTCTCAGTTAGTGGATGTGACTTCATGTGTTACCTTTATCAATGGAAAAATATAGAAATAATCACGCCCAGTTTCTTTGCCTAATAAAGGTTTTTAAAATGCACTCCTACTTCAGGAGGATATCTTGTAGTTTACAGATTACATATAGCCTCATGTATTGTTCATAGTTGAATTCAACCCTTCCTCTCAGTCTCCCACTTTTTATTCCCCCACACCCAGCCTCCCTTACCACTCTTTGTGCTGGAAGACACTGATTATTACACGCTGTAGGTGATGACGATAATGACGATGGTGTTGGTGGTGGTGGTTGTGCTGATGATGGTAGCGTGATCTGAGTGTTATTTATTTATTTTTTCTTTGTTAGTGTTTTTTTTATTTTAATTTTGTTTTTATTTTATTTTTCACCCGTGCTACGGGTAAAGCTCCTCTTATTATTGGAATATTTTTGGTTTTTTTCTTCTCTTCTCTCTCTGCTAGGATAACATCGGGCACCGGCTGCTTCAGAAACATGGCTGGAAGTTGGGCCAAGGCCTTGGCAAAACCATGCAGGGTAAGGGCACACTCTTCTTTACACTTAAGTTCAATGTATGATGGTATTGGAACACTATGTATCATTTTCTTTCCTCTCACATTCCCCCTTTTGTATTATTTTATTTTATTTTTTGTGCTAGATTTTCTTTTCCCTTTATCTTTTCTCTGCCTTCTTCCTTTGTATCTGGTAGTGTGAAATTGATTGTTATTCAAGGAAACATTGTAGTTGTTTTTTTGCTCTCATACTGCTGTTACTTTAAACTGAAAGAGGGAAGAAAATATTCTTGACCTTGATTAAGACTTAGGGAAGGGACTTTGGGGCTTGGGAACTAGAATGGAGCTAGTCATCTTCACATAATGCTTTAGTTGACAGCAAAGTTGAATCTGCCCTTTGTTCACATTCAGATTCAGTGCTTTTGAACATACAGTTTGCTGATATGGTGGTTTCTTTGTTGCCTCCAGGGGACATATTTGTTTTATCTATTTCAGATCATGCCCTGAACTTGAAAGCATGTGCTGATCATATCAGAATTTTCTAAATATGGGATAAATAAAGTGTTTATCTTATCTCATTTTTAGCTAAATTGGATTTCTGTTAAAAAACATGTTAAAACATGAGTATTTATTTATTTTAGTTGGATAGGGGTGCAAATAAATGAGAACACATTAGCTGGGTTTTTTCCATTGCAAGAACCTTTCCCAGGGACTAAAGACTTTTGAAGGACCTCTTGATTTTAACTACAGAGGCCCAGAGACCCTCTGGGGGAGTTATTTTACCCCACAAGTCCCTGAACGTTGGAGTGAGATTTGTAGCACTGATTATTTCTGATTCACTTAGTTACCGACTTGTAGCATTTTAACCAGCACTTTGACCAGGCTCATCTCTCGGTCACATAGATGGTAAAAACCAGTTTTGTTACTGTAAAGTGAACCTCATAAGCTGGCAGTTTATAAATATGTTAATCAGCAAGCTAGTATTGAACAGAGTGATGATTCAGAGAAATGCAAAAAAAAAAGAAAGATGGTTTTACAGCCATTATGTTCTAAGTTCCTAATAAACATGCCTACACCTCCGCGCATCTCCACAACCCTACAGGAATGCACTGCATTGCCATATTTTTGTAATCAAAAAGAAGTTTTTATGCTGTCCATTGTGTGGTTGCTGTGTGTGTACTGGTCATCACACGACCTACAGCTCTGAGACCGCAAACAGAAGTTAGAAATAGGGACCATAGGTCCACTAGTAGCTAGCAGACATTTGATCAGACACTGTGTTGGACAGTCCCATTAGTTGAACACTTCTTGTATCATTAAACTCAGTGTGTTTACCCTGTATACCTATGACTTTATACAATTGATGAGTCCAGCATTTAATTTAAAAATCTGCTTTTCTATTACTCTAACTGCATGCCCAAGAACATATTACATTGTATTACTCTATTAGTTTAAGGATTGCTTTGTATTTTGAGAGTGACTCTGAAATGCTCAGTGACCTGTGCACTAGAACAAATTCTCTAAGATGTAAAAGGCTTTAGACTAAAAAGCTGCATTAAGAGAGGTTTACTTTCTCTTGGCCATTCATAGTAATCTAATGGCCTTGTTTATATTGAATTGCACGAACTTAGAAGGCTGCACATAGCTGAGCGTGCGGGTTAGACCTTGGCCGACGTTGGCACCTCATTAGCTCAGACCTGCTGTGCTCATAGGCTCATTGGCTCAGTGGCAGTGGTGCAGAGCCTTGGCATGTCTCCACCAAGCCATTTCCTGTCTCTTCACTGGCTTTCCTGTTCTCATCAGCATCTTCATTTTCTCCTTTTCCTCCCCTTTCTGTTTCTACTCGTAGCCTCACCCTTCCCTGAATTCTGCCCAAAAAGAGTGATGTATAGCATTCTATATGAGTGATGTCAATGCCTTCAGGGCAAGCGAGTCCTTGCAGTCTGTTAAGAGTGGAGCTTGTTTTTCTACATAGCTTCTGGTATTAATCTTATCTGCCTCCTCCTCTATGTCCCTTTCTATCCACTGGATCCATAACATTTTAGTCATGTCTGACTTATCCATCTCCCTCGCTCACTTAGTCTTGCTCAGTTGCAATGCTTTCTCAAGTGCATTGCCCTTCCTGTAAACCTAGCAGTAACATCTGTTTTCAATATTGGCATTTTATTGAGAAACACCACTAATACTGCAAAACAGTGAAAAGCACACGCCCAAATTACATAGTTGTCTTAAATGTGTTGGGGCTTAGGCAGAGCTTGTATCTGGGTTGCTTAAATTTACTTGTCTTATATATACAGATCTATAAACATGTGTCCAGGATAGTGCTGCTTAATTGTTTTCATCTAATCCAGATTTCCTTGTTTACATGGTTCTGGGAATAGGATTTTTCAGTACACTGTATTGCCAAGTAAAAGAGTGAGAAAAGGGGGTCTTGAAAATGTCTTGGACTGTGTGCTTGACAAAATTTGAACACAGACTGCCTAACTAAATAGTGTCCTTAGTTTACCAGAATAATGCTAAGTGTTGACATTTGGCTGACCAGTAGAGGAAGACGAACATGATGAATCCTCTCTCTACTGTTAACATAGAGCTGTTATGTATTTTTTGTTGGTTTTATTTGAGTGTAGAAAGGTATTAAAGTAAGGTAATCACTATAGTCTTTACCTTTTTTGCTCATGCAGAATTACAGCATGCATGGTCACTTGTCCTCCAGAGACACTGAGCTCTCGTGAGCTCTGGTTGTTGAGTTTTATTGTTGCTGCCACCCTAGCAGCTCTCACATGTACATATATGGCCTTGGCTCCTAGTGTTGTCTCTCATAGGTATTCTCAGGCTGACCATGGCCAAGGACCAGAGTAGGCCAAGAGGCTGCTTCATTTCTTTCTGGGCAGGCTGACAAGTTTATGGAGGGTAACAACAGCAGAAATTTCAGAGCTTAGCGTTCAGTAACCATCATTGTTTATTTCCATCTGGCCATGAACCAGTGAATAGCAGACTATTTGATGTGATAAGGATGTGTGCTTTGTGTGGAGGAGAGAACAAGTTGCAGAGGCTGACTGTGCTCTTGTTTTTGCCGCTGGCACCAGTCATGAGATTATGTAAGCATCCTGCTTTGTGGGCAGATGAGACTGCGGCAAATTGTGTCCAGTTGTTGTGCTGGAATTAATGGCCCAGTGTTGGAGCACGCTATCTCCTGTTGAATTTTGCTAATATACTTAGGAGTAGGTATATCACATAGGTGAACCATTGCATCTCATTGAAGTCTGCTGGATAATCACTATAATCTTCCTCTTCTTTCCTGTCCTCTTTGCCTGAAGAGACGGTTGATGAAATTTGACATTAAAGCATTGTGTCCCCTTTTTTAAGTTTTTCACTGTATTGACTCTGTTCTTATTCTTCTTTTGTCCCTTTTGCCCTTTTTTTTAGGTAAGGTTTGTTGGATCCTCTGTATGTCAGTGTGTGTGTGTGTGTGTGTGTGCGCGCGCGTGTGTGTGGGTGGGTGTGTGTGTGTGTGTGTGTGTATGTGTGTGTGTGTTTTCTTTTCCCACTCTGCAGTTGACCTCAGTGTAACACCCCTTTTACAGTTTATCATAGGCTAATGGCCTCTGTCAGCTTCCTCCTCTTTGCTTTATAATCACTAAACCTTTATTTCAATCTGCTTATGAGTAATGTGCTTCAATTTGAACAAAGGACGATCCATTTTAAATCAAGGTAGATTTAGGAAGCTATGATTCATTCAAAATCCTTAGAATCATCATCACCGTGTATGTTAGATTTTTTCCCCCCCCCCTTCTTAGAATTTCCGTGGCTGCTGTTGGGTAATCTGATTGGCTGTAACCATGGCTCAGACTGTGAATGGCTTGCAGAGTAGACAAGTTTTCTCCCCTCTGCTTGTTTGCCTGTTTCTACCTCCAAACCTGTGAAACTCATGTGTATGTGTGTGGTCATTATGTGGAACTGAGATGCGTGTGTGTCTGCTACTGACCGGGCCATAGAGTCAACTTGCAGGGAAAACCTCTCCACCTCTTACACCCCAATTGTCTCTGTCCCCATGGTCACAGGCTCCCATCCTCCCCCTGTTTCTTTGCCCCTTCAGCATAGCATGTTTGTCCCAGAGGTGCACTTCTGCCTGCCTCCAACTGTCATTCACCTGGGGCTTTAAGCAGTGTTGGAGGTAGCACACTAAACGACTACGTTCACATGATATAGGACTATATGACAAAACGATTGGATGCACAATTAACATCTTTAGTTGTACTTGAGTAACGTTGCTGTTCCATAGCAATAAAGAAACTACTCTAAGCACTGCTCAAAGCCTTGCTGGCTCTTCCCTCAGGTACATTTTATGTGTAGTTTGTGTTCACTTTTTCCATGGTTAAGCACATCCCAAAATGAGCTTGCTGGCGGTAGGCTAGCGAGGAAATGAAGGAATCTCAGGGAGATTTGCTAACTGGGCTGACAAGCATCTGCAAGGCAAAAAGCTCAGAGGGGGAAAATGGTGGTCATCCCTAGAGACACCTATTGTCTCAATCTAGATATTTGACCACATCTTTAAAAAGGCAAAAGTATATTTTTGATTCATTACTTTTCTTAGGCGGTAAGCCTCCCTCTAGACCCAAAATACTATCAGACGTGGCAGTTTCTAGTCTTTTTACGCAGAATAGCTCCTTTAACAGTTCTTATTTGATGAGATTTCACTTTTTTTTTTTATTTCCCAAGCTAAAATATGAGGGATTTCCAGGGTTTTTACTGATGTAAAACCAACCTGCTTTTCCACTACAGGAACTCAATGACATATGAGAATGCATACATGCATGTATTAGTGAAATGGTAGCATTCGTCATGATAAAGTTTAAAACCATGTTGTTTGCGCTATGTTATAGTGTTGGTTTATTTAGCACAATCTCCTGAGGGGAGCTCAGATTTTGCTTTCGCAACTTCCACTGCCCCATTTTTTAGCTTGTGTTCAGTTACAGGTCGCAAGTTCCCATAGTGGAAAAGATGTAAGGGGTGGTAATTTGTTTTTTGGGATATATTTTGTTTGAGAAACAAGATGACATCAGGCTAGGGGCCTGGGGACTGGGATAAGTGGTTGGGAGAGAGTGGTGAGAGGAAATCCCTGTAAGCACCTAGCCCTGAATGAAGGGATGAGGGGGGGTGGGGCGGTTGACACACAGTAGCCCCTCTGGTAATGAACCCCCCTAAATCCCATAACCACACTCCCAACCCCACCCTCCCTTCTCTATGTGCCTCAATCTTCCTGCTTAACCAATTGGTGTTTCTTTTTTACAGCGATTTGATCCTGCCCATGTTGTGCTGATGGTAAACTTAGTGGTAAATGTTATTTTATCCCCCAATTGAATTGTTTTCTGTTTGTTTTTATTTCTCCAATTTTTTTTTTGGTTTGTTTTTCCTTTCATCAGAGCACCAATGCTACATAGGCTTTAATTCTCTCTGTATTAGTCTTCATTCTGCTGCTTGTATATTACCATGCATATGTATTACTCTTAGAACATTGTCATTTTGTTTGTTTTCAGTTTTTTTTTCTCCAAAAAACCTTGTGATTCACACCCTGTGATTTAGATGCACATTGTTTTTGTCTGGTCCCTTTCTTTTTCACTGGAATGGGTAATGTGGAAGTATTGTCACTGTGTTTAAAGATTGGTGATAGTTTGGGATGACTGTAATTGTTCATTAATCTATAATTCTAGGCCTGACTTGTGACTTGTCAGAGAGACCACTGCAGTGGCTGGCTAACAGACTAAACCCTGTTTTTGGTTTCACTTCTGCTGCTGCTTGATAAAGGGCATGAACTTACATGTCCAGGCTATCAGTAGTCTTGTGATCTCAAAATCAGCAGTTTTCTTTCACTTCCTTAGTTTGAATATGGCCAGAAAAATCATCCAATCACTGTTAGGTATTCTGTTTAAGAAAAAAAAAAGCCTGCCTAGGTGACAGACACTGCCGTGGGACTGAGAGTGCAGGCAGACTGTTATACAGGGTGCTACTATGCCCATGCATTTGTTTTTAAAATGACTATGTCATTGGGCTATGATGGCTAAAAGAAACAGAGATTTGCAATACATTTTTTCTTACTTTCCTGTCTAGGAAAGTAAGAATGTGTAAGAAAGCCACTGCGGTTGTGATAATTTTGAAATTTTAATCAAAACCAAAAGGTTTTGAACATATTATTTACTCCATTACTTATGTTTCGTTCTCTTGATTGAAAATCATCTGTATTTACGAATAGGAGAATTCTATTTTCTCTTCTTTATATATGGCACCAACTGGTAGTAAGGTTACGTCTTATTTAGCGCCACTGTAATTAAATATTTGTAGTTTTTCCATATGCCCAATGGTATACATAGAAATTTAATTTGTGGAAAAACCTACATTGGATTATTGGATTTGTGGGAGGGGAAAAAAACTGAAACCAAACTGAATTGATAATCACTATCAGTGTGATTAATTATTACATCTGGCTGGCATCAGGAGCAGCAGACTAGTCCAAATTCTCTTTATGCCTTTTGTTTTGAGATTCCCCTGTCTGTCTGTCTGTCCCCCCCTCCTTCTCCTCCTACTCATGCCCATGTTTTACCAGGTAAGTATCCCCCATCCCTTGCACTGTCACCATGGCGATACCTGGCCTGTGACGTCACTCTGCTGTAGTTCAGTGCTTGTGTCCTTTTTTTTTCCTTCTTTTTTTTTTAATTTGACTCTTTCTCTCTGCTTTGTTTGGCTGATTATGAGTGGATCAAGCAATTCAGTGTCAATCTCCAATGTAGTTTTGATTTACATATATTTTATATCTTTAATGTTTCATTCTGTTTTTGTTTTTTTGGTTGTCTTTGGTTTGTTTATTTTTCTACAAGTTAATTTCCTTCTGATCTAGCTCTTTTCACAGCTTACATAACATAGGTTAAGTAAACGGAAGAAAAATCTTTCAGCTTCAGTCATAATGAGGAAAGGGGGGCCTCTGACAAGGGAACAGGTTTGGACCTCAGGACAGTAAATGGTCAGACAGACAGTTCAGCAAGAAGTGATGCAATAGCCCTTAGATAATATTGGGAGCCTTTGTTACTCTCAAGGAGGATGTCGCAGTGGTGTTTTGTGAGCAGTAGCAGCAGCTGCAGCTCCCCACACACACACACACACACACACACACACACACACACACACACACACACACACACAGTCCCTCGAGCTGCAGCGTCCTTGATAAACTTGGCATTCTGGTTTAACAGGACTGCAGGAATGAAAGGATGGAGGAGGGGTGCCAGAGAGGCACAAATGAAAACATACCAGCTTAAAGATCAGTATGCTTTGTAGTGTACTTCTATATCAAGACATTTTACTGAGCAATCCTGATCCCCTTGTCTTCATTTACTCCATCAGGAATCCAGTGCAGCTAATTTGACTCATTCATAATGCAAACCAGCAGCCCGGTCAAATGTAACAGGAAGGCTAAATTGGTTTGTAGCTGGTGGCTGCAGTAAGCTGTGAGAATGGCTGGTGTTTGGTTCACTGTAGCTTTCTGGTCTCTTTGCACTTGAAGGCAAAATTCTCTAACCCCAGCACCCTATGCTCTAAAAGCAGGCTGTCTCCGAGTTGGTTCTTCATCCAAGCATTAAAAAAAGCTCACCTGGTCCTCTCTCTCTCTCTCTACCCTTAGGACGCACTGACCCTGTGCCCATCATCCTTAAGTATGATGTCATGGGGATGGGACGAATGGAGATGGAGGTATGATGCTCATTTTTATCGATTTGTACATTTTCTTTCTTTCTTTCTTTTTTTGCACCTTAAGTGCCCAAGTAGTAGTTTAAGGTGTTTAGATAAATATTATGAACTTGTTTTGACACTGGGGTGAGTGCTTTGACTGTGAAATAGAAATGACTTTGAAAATGAGCAGTTGAGCTAAAATGCTGTGTTATACAAGGTCGCATGGTTTTGAAAATCCCATGTTTCAGGGTTGCTCCTGATGAGTCAACCAGATAGCCTCTGGACCAATCATCAGGAGCTCTAAAGACATTTACATAGCATAAAAACCATACTGTTAAGTATTAAGAAACACTTTGTGAGTGAATAATTAGCACAAATTTTTGTATATCTATCTATCTCATAGTATGGGATACATTCCTTTGCTAGGTCCCTTAAGAGAAGTCTCAAGGCTATGGCACAGTGACTTCCTACAGGACTACTTAAGTATAACGGGTCCTGTTCACAACACGCAGTTCATGCAGAGGTGTTCTGTGTTCAACATATTAAAGATCTTGACTGCCATGGACAGTCTTAACCACTTCAAATACCTTCAGACAATGAATGATGAATGATTCTATTTAATGAAAACAAAACATGTAAAAACCACAAAGAAGAATGTGACACCAACACTGCCCAGCTAAATAAAACTATGCTTAAATTTTCAGCGAGCATCACTGTCAGTTATTTCAGCTCCTGCCTTTAGTCTTTGATATTTGTCTTGAAATAACATTCACCTACCTTGGTCGCATAGATGTTTCTACAGCAAACAGTCAGTCAGCATGATAAACGTGTAGCATGATAAACGTGTGTAACAGCACACAAGCGACACAAACTGACCAACTGTTCTTCTTGGAGTTTCCATGTGCTGTCTTCTATAGTCACTGTAGGGACTCGATGCGTTCAAGTCACATCAGCTCTTCTATGCACCATATTAAACTCATTTTTGGTATATAAGATGAACTTGGACTGGCTTTGACAATGTTGTTGCTTTATGATGTGACTTTTTTGTTTGTCCTAGCTGGATTATGCCGAGGATGCCACAGAGAAGAGGAGAGTCCTCGAAGTGGAAAAGGAAGATACAGAAGAACTGCGACAAAAATACAAGGTGAGGTTGTTTATCTCTTTGTCACAGTGATAATAATTGTTATCACTTGTATTTTTTTGATACTGTATTTTTAAATTTCCCACTAAAAACAGGACCAGATGGAAAAAGAAAAAGCCATCGCAAAAGCTCTGGAAGACCTGAGAGCCAATTTCTACTGTGAGCTGTGTGACAAACAGTACACCAAACACCAGGAATTTGACAACCACATTAACTCTTATGACCACGCTCACAAGCAGGTACTGCTGTTTAGCAAGCATTGCGGTGTTGATGTAGATCTGTTTTTAATTAAAGACACGATGAAATGATGTTCCCGTTTTCTCTGTCTTGCAGAGGCTTAAAGAGCTGAAGCAGAGAGAGTTTGCTCGTAATGTGTCATCACGTTCCCGGAAAGATGGAAAAAAGCAAGAAAAGATGCTGCGGCGATTGCATGAGCTTGCTGAGCAGAGAAAACAGCAAGACCGGTAAGTATTTGTTCCTGGAGTGCCATCTGCTGGATGGGTTGTGTATATATATTTAATGGGACATGGTGAAATTATTTTATAAATGTCACTGGTTCAATATGTTAGTCCAAACTAGACAAATTCAACAAAATGTATTTCATTTCACTTACTGTAAGTTAAAACATATTTTTGTATATTTTCATCTTTTCCAGTAAGCATGATAAAAATTAACGTCAAAGACCTCGATAGTAAAAATTTGTCCAGCATCACATTGGTGTAATGTTTTCTTTCAGAACTCCTGGAAGTGGACCTATGTTCAAAACAACTACAGTCGCTGTTGATGGAGAGAAAGGAGAAGACAGCAACAGCATGACACCCGAGAACAGTATGACACAGTCTTTGGCAGACACTGCCCTGGAAGGATCACTGTCAGATAAAACTGGTCAAGCCTCCCCAAAGTCTGGTCCAACCTTTAGCTTCTCTCTGGGAAAGAATCCCTCATCCTCGCCAACTTCCAGCAACGCATCAAAAGTCAGTGTATCATTCTCTTTTGCCAAGAAAGCACCAGTAAAACTGGAGACAGCAGCTGCTGTTTTTGCTGATCATGGTGAGGAAGCTATGGAGACAGAGGAGAGTCAAGAGGGAGAAAAGGCTGGAGGACAAGATGACACATCAGGCTGTGGCACAGACAGCCCTAAGGGACTGTCTGGAGGAGGTGAAGGAGGAGAAGGAGGTGATGCAGCAGGTACAGAAGAGGTGCAGCAGCCTGATGATGGAGGATCTTTAGCATCAACGCTTAGCAAATTGAAAATGATGATGAAAACCAATGAAGGATATGTTGGACAAGAGCCTCAGTACTACCACTATGTACCACCAGCTCACTGTCGAGTAAAGCCACACTTCCAGTTTTTGCTGTTCATGAAAGCCTCTGAACAGTGTCAGAGCAAAGATGAAGACGATGAGGAAGAGACACAAGAGGAGAACAAGGCTGAAGAAAGTCCAGAACAGACAGAGAGCGGTGTGACAGAGTGCAAAACTGAAAAGGAACATGGCAATGTTACTGTAGATGCTGACCCAGACCTAGTTCCTCTATCAGCTAACGTAAAGGCAGAAGAGGAGACCCCTTCATGTGCAGAAGATGCAGCTCCTGCTGTACCAGCTTCACCCACCCAGAAAGCAGAGACGCGTGATACTGTGGATACAAACGCTGGTCCGAAAATGCCCACTGGTCCCTTCTTTCCAGTCCTGAGCAAAGATGAGACTACAACCCTGCAGTGGCCATCAGAGCTCCTTGAATTTACAAAAGCTCAACCTTCCCTGTCTTACAGCTGCAATCCCCTCTACTTTGACTTCAAACTGTCCCGTAACAAAGGAGTGCGTGGTGGGAAAGTGGCAAAGTCCCCCAAGCCTGGTGAAGACACTGATGACAAGGGACAAGAAGTGAATGCTTCACCATCTGAAGTAGAAATGGCTACTAAACCTGGAACTAGTGCTGACAAAGACAAGCTATTGTCAAAAGGAGAGTCTGGGCAGCCAGAAAGTGAAGAACAAAAGCCCACAAGTGGAAGTAATAGTGCAAAGAAAAAAAAGAAAAAGAAGAAGCATAAGAAGTCTGCAAAGCATTCAAAACGCAAAGGAAAAGAAAAAGGAGCCGGAGAAGATGCAGAAGGTGAGACTGAGGTAACACAAGAAAAGCCCAAAAAAAAGAAAAAACACAAACGTAAGAAGAGCAAAAACAAGGCTCAAGATCAAGCTGAGGCAACAGGTGAAGAAAAGGAAAAACCTAAACCAAAGTCGGAAGATAAAGCTGCTACCTCCTCTGTACAGCTGACAACTGGAGGGGAAGGAGCTACAGGAGCAGAACTGGGGAAGAGGAAACGTGGTGCTAAGGAAGTGCCTTGCAAATCTGGAGCAGAAGGAGGGAATGGAAAAAGTACTGACAAGGCCAACTCATCTGAAGAGCACAGTGGCAACAAAAGACAAAAGACTGACACCAGTGCATCTCAAAGTGCCTCGTGCTCCACCTCAGCCCAAAAGAGTCCTGGCTCTGGTAGACCTCCGAGCAGTGAAAGTGAAGAAGGGGGCTCTAATACCCAGCGCTCACGTCATCACAGGTCAAGCCCGAGGGAACAGCGCCGCCACCATAGTGAAGAATCAGGGCGATCCTGCAGCCGTTCATCGAGACGGGGGGAACGACGAGGTAGCAGTCGCCGACGTCATCGTGGCCAAACCTCTCGTAGTCGCTCTTATTCCAGCAGCTCTGAGCGCTCCTCAGCAGGCAGCAGTGCCTACAGCCACCGTAGCCGAAGCTACTCAGACAGCTACAGCGACTATAGTACAGAAGGTCGCAGACGTAGGCGCTCCAAACGTTCATCCGACTCAGAGTATGACCGCAGGAGTAGCCGAGGACGTAGACGATCCAGGAGGCATCAGTACACATCTTCCTCTTCAGAAGACTCACGCTCACGTTCACGCAGCTACAGCCGCAGGAAGAGGCACAGACGGCATCATCGGAGCAGCTCCAGAAGCTCCAGCAGCTGGAGTCGCAGCACTAGTGCAAGATCCTGGAGGCGGAGCTACAGTCGTAGCTACAGCTCTGCTAGCCGCTCCTCCAGTTCAAATAAAGGGTCTCCTCACAGGCGAAGCACTAGGGGTCGAGAGGATAGTGACACCCATCGCAGAGACTTCAACCGCTCACGCATCTACCGCTCCCAGTCTCCACGGTCTTCTTCTTCACGAGGCCTTAACCGTAACACCCATTCATCCAGCTCGCTGGGTCTGAGACCAGGGGGGTCTCGAGATGCAGGAGAACAGAAAAACACTCTAACTGCACGACAGCTGTTGGAGAAGGTTCAGTCCAAGAAAAGCTCTGAAGATTCTACCACAGGAACAAAATCTGGGATTAAGATTAAAGACCCACCGCAGGGCTATTTTGGCCCAAAACTACCCCCATCCCTTGGAAACAAAGCCATGCTTCCACTAATTGGTAAGCTGCAGGCAGGGAAAAAGCCAGCAATTCCTTTAATCAGACCTGAAGAGGGAGAGAAATCAGGGACGGGGAAGAGCTCTGAACCTGAAGGAGAGGTTATATTAGTAGAGCCTATAAGGGAGTTCCCACCCCCACCACCACCTCCAGCTCCACCAGTTCAGAAGGTTGAGGAAGCCCCACAGAGCACAGTGACTCAAGAAGAGACACAGCAGCCTGCAACAGAAGACCAGGGGCACCAAGAAACCCGGCCAGTATTTGAACAAGAGCCCTCCATGATGATGCCCCAGTACCAAGGAGAGTCAGGACAAGACCTTTCCCAGAACCCAATGATGGAGTCCATGATGCCTGAAATGCAGCAGCAGCAGGCTGCCATGCATGCCTACCCTGGTTACCCACCACCCAGCTTGGAGGAGGATGGCATGGAGGCAGAGGAGGATGGACTGGCTCCTTTGGAAAGTCAACCAATTACATTCACACCAGAGGAGATGGAGAAATACAGCAAGCTGCAACAGGCTGCACAACAGCATATTCAGCAGCAGCTTTTAGCCAAGCAGGTCAAGACTTTTCCCTCAGCTGCTGCAGCAGCCGCTGCCGCAGCAGCTGCCACTTTGGCCCCAGCGCCCCCTCCACCAGCCCTGCAGCAGATCCATATTCAGCAGCCAACTGTGTCCGTAGCTTCTGGCACATCCATCACCACAGTGCAACACGCCATCCTTCAGCACCATGCAGCCACTGCTGCAGCAATGGGCATCCACCCAGCTCATCCCCACCACCCACATCCGGCACATGCCCAGCTGGCCCAGGTACATCACATTCCCCAGCATCACCTTACCCCCATCTCCCTGTCTCCTTTGGGGCCGTCACTTGGTCATTCTCTGGGACACTCACTGGGGCATGCAGGATTGATCCCTGCCCACCCAACAGCCTTCCTCTCTGGTCAGCCAATACATATTATCCCTGCTTCTGCACTTCATCACACCCCCTTAGCTCTCCACCATGTTCCACACACAGCCCTCTACCCCACACTTTTCACACCCCGACCCTCACAGGCTGCAGCAGCAGCAGCGCTTCAGCTCCACCCACTCTTACACCCAATATTCTCAGGACAGGACCTCCAGCACCCCCCTAACCACGGCTCTTGAAAACAAATGAAAATGAAGTAGTGTGTTCACAACAACCAACCACTAAATGAAAGACTTAACCTGAACTCTCTTGGTTTAGGGTTTTAAATAAAGTCTTTGTTACATCATGCAGGCTGTAAGATGTGGATCTTATGAGAACTTTACTGGCCTTCACAGTGCAGCACGTCACCACAAAGTGGTTAAGACTGCTGGGTTCAAAATCAACACTAACATTTTCTTCTGGTACATGTGAGATTTTTATTTTCTCATTTTTTCACAGATTTGTTTCTCCCCCCTCTACAAACTGTAGACACTTCCTCTAGACCATTGGTTTATATTCCAATTTGGGGAATAGTAACAGCCTCAGAAACTACTGGAGTTTTTTGTTGTGTTTTTTTTGCTTATTTTGGCAGCCAAAGAGATACATGATGGCTAAAGGTGTAAGCAGAATCGTGTTACGATTCAAGGAAGTGGTTTTGTTCTAGAGGTGAACATTTTAATCTGTGTAATCTAATTTTCAGAGATGGACTCTTTCATGATTACTGATCTCTTGTTGTGTTTTCAAATGACTACTCACTCTCTATTGGATTCTTGGTTTAAAAGTAATTTGTAATGCAGTAACTTGTACATAGGTCAGTGTGTAATGTGAAGAAACCCACCAGTGACAGCCATATGAAAAAACAAAACCGATATGGTGTCCAAACAAGTATGACACTGTCATACAAGAAGCCCTCTCTAAATCAGGGGAAATGTGATGAAGGGGTGTAAATCTCCTGAATACTCTGAAGCAAAGCTCTTGTTCCCTGGGATGAGGGTACATCTGAATCAATTGCACTGAAATCTGTACATCAAGATGGTGCCTGTGCATCATATAATAAGATTGTAGTATACTGCAATAATTGTATTTTTCTGTTTTTTAAATTATTTTCCAAAATGCTTTTCAAAAGAAGAGCTGTGTTTGGCTTTTTTTGTGTGTAATTTTGTAAATAAAACTGCTGTAGATTAACCTATTAACGTTCTACTGGGTTGACACTGCTGTTGGGGGGAGGGGAAAAAGCAGACAAATGACAAATTGGATGGGAGGTGGACACATGTATTTTATCACGGTGGTTTGTTCATCCCTGCTGGGGTGCCAAACAGCAGTGACCTGTTTAAAAAGAAAAGTAGCAACTCTGTATTTTTTAAAGACTTAACTCTGTTTCACCAAATAAAATCCTGAGTTTGTGTGTCTTTTTCCATATTTTTTTCATTATTGAAATTGCCATGTAAATAACTGTAGATGGTCACATGAAGGTCCTGCCTTATTTCCATAAGTTTCATCTGACAGTCAAACAACCCCTGCAGATGTAAATGTCCAACAGTAGATGGTGCTGGAGTTACCTGGAATAGGCTTTGCGAAAACAGTCAATCCGTGTGAATGCAGCATGCATTTAGTGTATCTGTTCACAGGCTATGATTAATACTGTTTACTGTAAAAGGGGAAACAGTCCTGTCAGCACTTGCAGAACCATTACACGAGGCTGTAGAAAGAAAATTATAGATTTAATTTCTTTAAAATCACTCACATAGTGAGACGAGACCAAGAATAAATGAAAGAAAGCATGTGACAGAAAGGGGCTGCTTCCATTGATTTTCTTTGAACTATTACCTACATATATTATCAGTTCCCAGCTTATTAGGTACAGCTCGCTAAACCTAATGAGGCTGTCCACTAAGTCCTGCCTTAATGCAGGATATAATGTTTGTGTTGAAAGTCTCTAATTTTCTGGTCATTGTGCCTAATGTATTAGAATTGTATGACATCAACTCGATCCTACTTTGTCCACTACATTAGACTGTATTGACCAGGTGCAGCTAATAAGCTAGTAACTGAGGTTACACCATAAAACAAGAATTTCTGGTGAGAATTCTTAAGTTGCATTGTGATGAAACACTGAACATAACATTTTCGTACTTGTATTTCTTTAAAAACCATGTTTATCAAGGCAGAAGAACACTGACAGCAACTTGAGGAACAGTTAAGTATTTATAAGAAACCATCTGTGTAAAATCACAGGAGAAATTTACAGTTTCAAAGTGGTTTTGGTAAAAATGGAAAGTGGCACACTGAGCTTCACATGGATTAAAAATACTGTCTGTAGTTCAAGGTCTTTGCCAATGTCACCATTTTATCAATAAACATGATGGAAAGCCATTAAAAGAAAACTAAATGTAAGGGAACAACTTATGAAAGTTGGTTTTAATGTTAGAAATTCATATCATGAGGGACGATGTGCTGCAGAAATGTCCACGACTGATCAAAAAGCCGCCCTTGTGGATGGTTGGAGGTCAGCCCAGGTATCTGATTACCAGGAACATGAAGACGCAGGTCAGCAGCATGCCTCCAATCATGATGAACTTATCTTGAGTGGCTCGCCTTTCTATAAGTCTCATCACTGTGTTTGACAGCCCCAACATGTTAGCCACATCCAGCATCTTCTTATGAGTTCCCTGTGCAGAGCCAAAACAGCCACACTCATTTCAACAGTAATGATCACATGTGACAGTTTATAAGAGCCATAAATAAACGAAATGTTTCCATGACCACATTGTAATTATCTCCACTAATTCCTCTGATTTTGAGAGACGTTGAGTGCCAACGCCCTCCCTGACGCGCCACTCCGTCAGAGGTTTCTCATGGCTAGACAACCAGGCTGAGAGTGCTGATCAACAGACACACCCTGATAAGAAGAGGCCTGAAGCAAAACCAGGAAGCCCATCTCCTCCTTGGAAACACAGACTCGCCCTCTGAGCATGAGCACACTAACAATACGACTATTGTGATCGTCGTGGACACCAGAAAGTGGGTCAGGAAATTTAATTCAGTCCACCTTTTATTCCGCTTCCTTGTTTAACAAATGGTTTAAATAAGCTACAGATGTAGACTTGTTTTTCTGCTGTGTTAAATCACTAACCTTTAGCGTAGATCTCTGATCTCTGAGACCATTAAGGATGCTGCTGCCACTGCCGATGAGGTCATCAATGCCTCTGTGTGCGTTGTGCAAGTTGGAGTTAAACTGTAGGGTCTCATCTATGGGGATGGAGGTATCTGCGTCCTATTAAACAAAAGGAATCTCTGTAATTTACACAAACTCTAGATTCTTTTTTTAGCTTAAAATGTTGCATTCACATCAATACCCATCACCAGTTTGATCACTATTAGACAATTTACATACATTCGTGGTGAAGGTGCGGCTCATGAGTTCCTCCCTCTCTCTCTCCTGGGCCTCTCTGGCATAGCGTCTGTGCTGGAAATTTTGCAGGGCACTCCGGAGGTGCTGGACATCATACTTGAGCTGGTCCACTCGTCTAAGAGAAAGAAAAGGATTCAACTGTGTCCAGTTTTACAACTACAACAAACATTTTCCAATTTAAAGTTGAGGGTCCCTGCAAATCTTTACAAAGCAATCCAGTCACCTCAAAGAGTAATCTATAGAGATTTCAAATGCATTTTTGCCCACTGTGGGAGGTAACAGGCTACTTGGAGTTTCTGAACACTTCTCAATTTAAGCTTGCAGTTCCTACAATGTGCAAGTGCTATAAGCCAAGGTGTGATTTGTCAGGGAGGATGGGAGGGATTTCTCCCACTCTGGTCTACACATCCCTGTCTCTGCTAAATAATTTTTCATCCCTGGCAGGGGAAAACAATGTATTCCTCCCTCTGACTTTTAATACCGCATCAGCCAAATCAGGAACTGACTTTCACTTTCAGCACTCACGACCCTGTTACAGTAAGGTTCACACTGCATGGAGTGGATGATCATTTCATTAAACCAAATCCTGCTGGGTTTTTTAGTAAAAAAATTTTTTAACTAGATAAAAGAAATTAACCAGATTATGTGTTGGGAGACTCACAAAAGTTACATATGCAACTATGCACCAGGCTGCTGTCTGTCGACATCCTCGTTAAATTGTACCAAATAAATAAATAGAATCAGCTGATTATGAAGAGGACAGGAGAGGAACTTTTAACAGATTTGAGGAATTTAATGTACTGTCTCTCCACCCTTGTTTGACAGTGGTTCTAACTCTTACTGCACCCTGTTTTTTTTTTCACAATTCAGTGTATCAGCAGTTGTACTGAATAAGGAGGACATTTATTTTGCTCTCAAATCTTATGTGCTTGTTTTGAAGAGTCCCCACAACCCCCACCCCCTTCCCCTCCCTGAGTTCACTCAGGCCCCACCAGAGACCTGCTAAGATTAAAGGAGCGCTGTGGAATGGGGTGCACTGTCCCCCCTAAGGCCTGTTTATCCAGCTCAGAAATGAATCTTTGCCCAATGCAGCAGGAATGCTGGTGATGACGGGGGCTTCTGAGGAAATGTTTTCACAGAGCCGTGTTGCCACAGGGCAGGACGCGGCTGCCTCTTCATCATCTAACCCTCCTTCTGCCTTTATTGCATATGATACATCCAGCTGTTTCTGTGTCTTTATGGTCACCGTCTATTGTTTAAATCCAAACTCACAATTTGGCATTCTGGCGGCGGTTTGGCGGTTCCTTGCTGGCCAGGATCTCAAGGCGTTCTAAATGATTGAAGATCTGGTCGATTCTAGCTTGCAGTTCATTTTCTAACACTTGTAAAACAGAGAGAAATGAAGAAGAGAGAATTGCAGGGAAGACAACAGTTAAGGCTGTGAAATTACAATTCATAATTTTGAAATTTACTGGCTAATTTACTTACATACTGAATTGATTCAAACATGTCTTCCAATATATATATAAAGAAAAGAGTGTGGGATGCTGTTTGTCTTCTAATAATATACCCAGGTGTCACAGGGTAGCATTCATCACTTAAGCGACCCCAGCTCATTAGTAGCTGCGTAAGTTTACATCCTCCCCTGGGGTTAAAATAAACCTTATGTCATCATTTGTGAAGGGGAGTTCACTGCCCGGCTCCCACCATTATCTGCCATACCACCCACCCTACTACTTCCTGTCTTGGCAACAGCTGGGCACAGAACTGAACGGCCAGGCACTATCCACAGAAAACAATTAGCTCTGGCTTTTATCATTATATATGTGAGAGGAAGAAGCAGCCATAACAAGGACCCGGTTCTGAGCAGAAATTAGAAGCTCTTCAAAGGGGAT